CACATACCTGAAAGCTAATAAAACTACTGAATCCCATACTTTATAGTTATAATACTCAACTTTTAAAATTTCCCAGATACATATGGTCTTTGGAACATGTAATTTTTAACATTCGAGTTGTAAACAAAAAACATATGATTTCAACTAAATTAAGAAAATCATGCTTTTTGTTTACAACTCGAATGTTAAAAATTACATGCTCCAAACACCATTTGTGTCTGAGAAATTTTAAAAGTTGAGTATTATAATTATAAAGGATGGGATTCGGTCGTTTTATTAGCTTTAGTAGATTTTAGGTATGTGAATTATTATTTTTCACTCTATTTTAAATTTTTAATTTCAATTAACTTAATTTCATTTTTACGAAATTAAAGAAATTTGGCTGTCTGAAATAGTATAAATAAAACTTTTACGTAAAATTAAATAAAACTATTACATTATAAAACTGTTATATCTGTAATATTAATCAAATATATTATATATTCTTATATATATTCAAACATTTTAATTCTTTTAATTATCTCAATTCTATCTTTTTTGTTTAATTTATTTTTGTATTGAAGCTTGAAATATGCATATTTAAACTATTTATTTGATGCAATGCAGACATTTCTAAAATTTAAGTATAACTATTTTTCCATTTATCAAGCAAATTACAATGATATATCGTGTGAACAGGTATTTCACAGCTGTCACTTTACAAATTTTTGACAGCTGCTATTAAAAACAAAACTCTCGTGTGTATAGCGTGTATTACTGATATTATCATTACTAAAAATATCTATAACTGGTACCTTAGCAACCTTAACATAGAAATTCATTTTTTTATTATTATTTTTCACATTTCATTTCTGTTTTCACATTTGCTTGCACTCAACGTGCATGAGGAGTACCAGACACAGCCGGCTGTGTTTCACCGCTCACCGCTTACCGCTAAACATACAAGCCTGTGAGAAGCTCACTTCATAAACTTCACTATTTTTATATTAATTTTTATTTTTATTTTTACTTTTTTTTTCTTTAATTTCACTGTAGTAAGTTTTTTACTATAAGTACACACACAGTGGAATAGAAATTCAAAAAAAAAAAAAAAATAAAATAAAGATATTAATTAAAATCTAATTAAAAAAATGTGGATTTAAAGTAAAAAAACACAACATAGTGAAGGTAGTACCTACTATATAAGCTACTTCGGAGTGAACCTAAAGCTTTAAAGTACAGCATTACCCAGCAGCCGTAAATATCGTAGATCTTTTCTTTCATTCGTTCGAATGTTACGTTACTTCCTACATGTTGTTCAGAGAAGTCATAAAACGTAAAGGGAAGAAATATAGCTTGAACGAGGCGGTGGGGACGGTATGAGATTGGAAAAATTTATGAAAAGCCGGCAAGTGACTTTTACCAGAATATGATGAGGAATTGTTCTTCTGTCTGTAGGTAGGTGTACGTTATGCTTCAGGAATGATGAAAGTAAAGTTGGTCAAGAGACTTAGGTTGTAGCGAATTTGCCTCTTGTTGATGTATGGAGGGTATCGTTAAGGTCTAATGCGGGGCTTTGTATGAAAACTCTAGGTATGGAGTATGATTCAGATTGATATTGACCGTTTAGTACTTAGTAATGTTTTAATAAGCGAATATGCCGGGGTACTAACTTCTATGAAGAATTTATTTATTTTTCTTTAAGATCTCTCAAGTACTTTTTTTTGGTGGTATTTTATGAGTATAAATTTTTATGCTTTCAACGCCATAAAAGTAAATAATAATAGCAATTTTTCAACATTAAATTCATACATAAGAGTAGATATATGAGCCCACGATTTATTTAATAAGTAAACAAATCGTAAAATAAATTATACTTTTTAATAACAAAAATAACAGTTTGAAGTATGCATTTAATTTGCAATTGAGCTGTACTTGGTAAAGACTAGGTCAGGTTTTTAGAGAAAATCGTAATTTCTTGTTTTTTATGGATTCAGTCTACAATATTCCAGCAAATTGCGTCTTGCCATTTGTACATATAGAGAAAATTATGCAATGTTATTGATTGACAATGATTTATTAATAACAAAAACAGTTAACAGATTGGAAAACTTTGACTTAACTGGAGCACCAATACCCTTTATTATTACTATTATTTACATGTTCAAAAATATAAATTCAAGAAGTTAATATAAACACTAAAGATTTTCAATTATTTCTATCACGCGCTATAGCTCTTAGTTCACTGAAAGATTTGCCCGACTCTCTGTTGATTGTCCTACTCTATATAGTTTTTGCTCGACCACACTTTCTTCTTCCTTGCGGATGCGATACTAGAGCGGCATGAGCGATTGCGCTGAAAAGTTTGCATAGAGTGTGGCACAACCAGCCATACTTTCTTTTTACGATTTGTTATCATTACCTTTCACCCACATAATAACGAATAGCATATTCAAGGACTGCTCCTTGAAGACAGAGAGCAGTTACCCTGCTTAGAGTTAGCTGTTCTTCAATAATTCTAGGGACCTAACTTAAGCTAATATCAAAAAAGTTTTCAAAGTTTTTGCAGAAATGGAATTCAACTGGGAATAACCGTCTATAAGAATAACTGGATGATTAGTCAATAGCGAGAATGTGAGATCAAAATTTGTGATGAGTGTTTCTATTTACGAGAATAATACGATGACAACTTAGACATGTATTTAAAAAAATAGTTGTGTTTATATTTATTATTAAGGCCTTAAGGTTCAATTAGTTACCTGTATATTTGATTGGAACGTAATAAACTAAAGTGGCGAACTTTGTTCATTTCGTTCCTAACATATACACAGGTGTGATTGGTTGTGCGTTTCGCTTTGGCTTAAGATCGTTTAAGTTCTTACAGTACATACTAACTAACTAGCTTTTAAGTCAATGTTAGGTTGAATGTGCTTATGGATAGGCTAATTTAATTGCCTGTACGCCACATACAACTCTATTGGACCCTAACGATACTACCTGAAGCAAGCGGAAGTCTTATGGGAAATGTCAAATAGATATTATAGATAGAAGAGACAGATATAGCAGATAAACATAGAAGAGAATAATATAAAAAAATATTATATGGAAAAATATCGCAAAGTATTGTGACTAAAGTAAGTCTTCTGTGTTATAGTTACAGTTAGTTATATGAGATTACTTAATCGTACGAAAGACAAGCAGTTCTTGAAATAAACCCAAACAGAATGTCGCACGCTAAGGGTATAGCGTATTCGTATATATATCAAGACCACAAACACTCGGTTTAGTTATAGTTAATCAAACAAAAGACAAGTCCTTCAAATGAACCACAAAACAATGTCCTACTTTAAGGGATTCGTATATTTATCCAGACCAATAACACTCGGTCTAGTTATATGTTTAACCAAAGAGAAGACAATCAGTCTTTTGAATGAAACCCAACAAAATGTTCCTCGTTAAGGGATTCGTTCGTTTTTCGAGACTAATATCATTCGGTCTAGTTACTAATTTCTATTACTAGAACAAAACCGAATTTTCACTAAAAGTGTTTTTCCAGGCATAGGACGAAAATTTATTACCTAATCTGTGATTTGAAAATTCGTTGAGATGCTTTGTTGTACCAGTATTCCTTTAAAAATTTGAATGCCTGGTAACTTACGATTTTAATCAACAATAATACTTGAGAAATTGAAGCCACTGAACAAATTCAAGTGTTCAAGTGTTAGTTATTAGCACGTTTGTAAACTAGTCCTATGCTGAACCGGTTTTGGAATAGACTCTCCAACTTTTTAGTTAATTAAATAACGAACCGTATTATTGCACTGAATCGCTAAATCATAGCCGAAATAAGCCGGGTTCAACGCGGAGTAACTATTACGAACTGCATTAGAAATTTATATGGTTCACAGCCATATAACATTATATTTGTTATATTTTATTGTATTATGAAATGGATTAGAAGTTATTTTGGTTTTGTGGAAAATTGTATTTATAAAGTTTTTCTCACGGAATAAACTAAGCTCTAAAATCTTAAAATAAATTAAATTGCTAAAATAAAATAAAATTTAATGTTTGTTTAATGTATAATAAGTTTGAAAATTATTATTAATATTATAATAATTGTCCTGAATATAGAAATTTTTATAACTCTTGTAAGCGTGGGTCCCATTATGATAATATTGGTTCATTTACCAGACTTCTATAACCACTCCTAGTAATATTATTCTAGGGTTTAAATATATGAACCCATGTATTATCGGATTTTTAATATTATGATAATTGTCCTAAATATAGAAAGTTTTATAACTCTTGTAAGCATGGGTCCCATTGTGATACTATTAGGTTATTTACTACATCCTCACAAGCACTCCTAGTAACATTGTTTTAGGGTTTAAATAAATGAACCCATGTATTACCGGATTTTTAATATAATAATAATTGTCCTGATACAGAAAGTTATATAGAAAGTTTTATTACTCTTGTAAGCATCGGACTAATTGTGATATTATTGGGTTATTTACCACACCTCCACAGTCACCCTTACTAACATTGTTCTAGGGTTTAAATAAAT